CTAGCCCTTTGTTGCAGCTTCCCAAATTTAAACGGTACTCTGTGGGGGGCGAGCTCCCCCGAGCCGTTTCTGCTGGCTGGGTGGATGAGCCACATGCCACCCTCCAGCCCTGTGACTGTTCACGCGGTTGGCTATGGGGCCCCCGTGTGGGTCTCGCAATGTTTCGTTGTGGTTCCCATTCAGAGGTGGTGCCCTGCGCCTTCCAGGCTGAGTCCCGAGAGGCAATCCTCTCTCCTCCTCCCCTCCTTCTTCGTCGCTCCCTCCTCCCTCCTCCCTCCTCCCGCCTCGGCCAGAGAGGCGCTCGCGAGTGTTCTCGCGCGCCTCCGATTGGAGGAGGACGAGCAGCCCCTCGTGCGACCTGCTGGCATGGCGGAGCAAGGCGACTCCGATCCGGGAGCGCGCCTGGGCCGTCCACCCCGTGGCGGCTTGTCCCGTCCCCTCGGGGGGAAGGTTCGATTGGCTGCTGAGCTCTTGCGTGGGTGGCATTCCCGTGCGGGGCCGCGTATCGTCCCCCTCCTTCCCCTCACGCCCCCCCTTCGCAGGACCCTCCTCCCTCCTCGTTCCTTTCTCCTCCTCCCTCCTCCTTCCCTCCTCCCTCTTCCTCCTCCTCCTCCTCCTCTTCTCCTCCTCCTCCTCCTCCTCCTCCTACTTATCGTCCTCTCTGCGCTGCAGCGTCGCAGCCTTGCACGCGCCTCCCCGCGAAGGCGGCTGGGAGCGGCCATCAGAGGCTTGTTCCCCTGTCGTCTCGGTCAGGGGCTGCGGCCCGCAGGATGGATGGCGTTTAAAAACAATCGGACGGAAGTGCTTGGACAGCCCATACCAGCAGGCCCTCAATTTGTTGCCTGCGTCGCATCCAATGGCTTCGGTGTCACGTGTTCTGGAAATCATCAACTGTTTTTTTAGGGTTCACGCAACCCAGAAACATGCTCGCGTCGTGCAAACATCACGACCGAAGGTTTTTTTACCTTTCCCCATGCTCCGTCTGCCGTTGACCCAGCGCTGGGAGCTACTGAGCGGTCGGCCAGGCTTCGTGACGGGGCCCTGGCCGACCCGGGTTTGCGCTGAACCAGGTTCGTGCGTCCCAGAAGCTTGTTTCGGCTCGACGCGAGGGTGATCTTTCGTTGTAGTGGCCTGTGGTGCGCGGCGTTCGGGGGGCGAAGGGGTGGTAGGGGAAACCAAGCACGCAGGCCGCTACTGCCGCATCGTACACGACGATCGGCACGCCGCGCACAGAAGAATGACCCGGGCATCCGAGGGATTGAGCTTTTCAATTCACGCGGTTTTCCTGTATTTCGGGCTCCTAGGGCAGTTTTCGGCCGCAGGGGGGATTATCAAATTTTAGACGCTCCGCGTAACCCCACCAGCTCGTCTTTCTCGATGACGTGTACGCATTGGGTGCCACGTGAATGAGTCCGCCGCGCTCTAGGCCTCCTGTGCTCCGTTCCGCCCCCTTTTTTCTGTGCTGCGCCCCTTTGTGGCTGCTTGGGTACAGGCTCAGCGTCCGTTGCTGCCTCGTTTGCGAGTGCGGTGCCTTCTGGTGCCCTTGGCCCGCTGGCATCTGCCCAGTGGTCCTTGCTCGCGTTTCGCCTCTGGCTGCGGGCCGCTTTGTTTCCGCCCGCGCCTCTGCCGTTCTGCTCTCTTTCTTCCGGCCACCGGTCAGGTTTCCCCACCTGCGGGTCTGGCTTGTGTTCGTTTGTTGTCCACCTGTGGCAGCTTCTCTACCGCTGGCATCCGCCCAGTGGCTTTGCATGGTAGTCTTCTGGAATTGCGCCCCTTTGCCTCATACCGCCCTCTGGGCTTTTCCTTGCGGGCCACATATCAAAAAAAATAACCCCACCAGCCAATCCAGAAACGATTGATCAGGGATGTGGAGGAGCATGCAGTGGAATACCGGGCTGGGGAAGCCGCCGCACCCCAAGAGGGGGGGGATGGAGGAGGAATCGGCGGAGAGGGAGGGGGGATTGGGAGGGAGGAGGGAGGAGGGAGGAGGAGGAACGGGCGGATGAGGAAGAGGAGGAGGAGGAGGAGGGCGAGCAGAAAGGCCAGAGCCCTCCTGGATGTCTCTCGGAGTCTCTTCGGATGTCTCTTCAGAGTTGTTTGGGGTCCTGTGCTGGCGTCCTGGGGGCCTCTTGGCAGTCCAAGGGGCCTCGTCGAGCGTCTTGGGCGCTTCGGGGGAGCCTCTTGGATGCTCTTTGGGATCTCTTCGGGGTCTCTTTGGGACCTCTTGGGGCCTCTCGGGGCCTCCTGGTCGCCTCTTGGGGCCCTCTTGGTGTCGTTTTGGGGCACCCATTGGGAGCCTTGGGCGCCATCTTGGGGCCATCGTGGAGGACATCGTTCAAAGAAGTGGGGGCAATGAATTAGAGTACCCCCCAGGAGACCAAACTTTGTCTAAAACCTTTCTAGTAAAATCAATAATGTTTGCCTTATCGCCGAGGCATTCCTGGACGCACTAATGGGTCGCGGGGTGCCCCGTCAAAGTCCAGGGGATGGGTCAGGGAGGTGGTCAAGACACCCTCCTAGATAGCAAGCCTTCTGGCTCACTCCCACCCGCCCTCCCAACACAGAAGTAACACCTGAGCCTCAGCATGTTCAGCGGCCGTCTTTGGATGGGCAGCTACTGGGAACCCAAGCCGACCCCATGCGCGCGGCGCTTGGGCGTGCCAGGCGCGCCACGCGCGCCAGGCACCCTTGGGGCCCGAGCGTGCCAGACACGCCTGGTGCGCCAGATGCGCCACGTGCTCCACGTGCGCCAGGTGTGCCGCGTACTCCAGCTGGGCCAGGTGCGCCACGTTAGGGGCACGTGCAGAGTGTGTCAGGTGCGCCTGCGCACGTGACAGCACACATCGGGAAACATGCCAGCCCCACCATCCTTGTCGAAAGCCATTGCCGATCATTGTGTCTGGTGGGCCTGCGCACAGCATGCCATACGCCATCACCCCCACCGCCCCTGCCAAACACCGCTTGACAGTGATCGCGGGGTGGCCGCGCATAATCCAGATTGCGAAGGCCTTGCGGCCAGTGCCGCCGACCCTGAAAGTGAACGACGACGACGAAAGCGGCGGCGACGACGACGACGTTGACATGGGTCAGAGTCCTCATGGATACTTCTTGGGGTCTCTTAGAAGCGCTCTCGGGGGCCTCCAGGGAACAGTCTAGGGGCCTCTTGGAAGCCTCCTGAACTTGTGGGCCTCTTGAGAGCCTCTTGGGGGCCTCTCGGGGCTTCCCGGGGGTTTCTTGGGGGCCTCTTGGGGCCTCTTGGGGGCCTCTGGAGGCCTCTAGGCGCTGTCCCTTCCATAAACCGCTTGACAGTGATCGCGGGGCGGCCGCGTATGATCCAGATTTAGCCGCGAGGTGTATTTTGCATTGAATGTTTAAAGCGATGGTGGCCCCGCGCACAGCAGGCAATATGCTGACACCCCCGCCGTCCCTGCCAAAGAAGATACAAACTGCCCGCGGGCTTCACGAACATGACTCAAGACTTTGCCCCAAGGTGTACAGTGTATTGTTTTTGACACGGATGGTGGGAGGGGGGCGCGCATCGGGTTGGTTGCGCATGCTCCGAGTTTGGAGGCAGAGTGTGGATTGTATTTTGTTGACAGTGATGGTTGGGGTGGGGATCATAGGGTCGGCATTGTTCCTTATTGGCTGCCGGTCGCCTGGGGGAGGGGGTGTATAGGGAATAGTGAGAAACCTCTCCCCGAATAGGAAGAAGGGGGGTTGAAAGGTGAAACACGTTAAACCACTCACGCCATCAAGGGCTCGTGGGACTTGGATCCAGGACGAAATTGCCGACTTGGATGTGGTTCGGAGGTCTTTGGCTGCGGATTGAAATTATCCTGGCGAAGGGCCTAACCATCTGCAGTTGTGGGTACCGCGTTGTGGGTACCGCTTTAGGCGGAACGCGTGAGCGGTGTGCCGTGGTGGGTGGGGGGGACGCATGAGGCCGCGGCCATGGGGAGTCGCATGCGAACGTCCCCCCTGGGGCCTTCGGTGAGACTCCCTGTGGGGTCGCGAAGCGTTGTACTGGGTGAGGGAGACGCATGCGGCCGTGGCCTCGGTCTCTTCGGAAGGGACCCTGATGCGGCCACGAAGCGTTGTACTGGGTGAGGGAGATGCATGCGGCCGCGGCCACTGGGGCCTTCGGTGGAGCTCCTTATGGGGCCACGAAGCGCTAGGTGGGGGAGACGCCTTCGCCTCTGGGGCCTTCGGTGGAGCTCCCTATTAGCCCACGCTGTGCTGATTGTGGGAGTCGCATGCAAACGTCGCCTCTGGGGCCTCGGGTGGAGCTCCCTATGGTGCCACGAAGCGTTGTACTGGGTGGGGAAGACGCATGAGAACGTCGCCTCGTGGGGTCTTCGGAGGAGCTCCCTGTGGGGCCACGAAGCGCGTGCAACACCACAGGACGGATGTGAAACATCTCATCGTCGGTTGTCGGGGGACATGGTGGTGCCGATACAACCTTCCGTCGTTTTCGTCTTTGTAGGCTTCCTGGGGTCTTTGTCTCTCGTCGCCACGGCTGGATTCGCCTCGACATCGTGGTCCGAACGAACCCCGAGAGGTCCAGGGAGGCGCTGTATCGGTATCTGTCGGTTCCCCAAGGCCCGGGTGGCCGCCAGGGCATCCCAGAGGCCCAGGTACCCCCGGCAAACCGCGCGAAAGGCGAGGACGTCCTTGGGCAAGGACTACCTCTGGCAACCTCGTCGCTGTCGTCATTTTCGGTCGTCGTCCGTCGTCATTGGTCTCGTCGTCGTCGTCATCGTCGTCGTTCGTCCTCCGTCGTCGTTGGTCTCGGTCGGTCGGTCGTGGTCGGTCGGTCTCGTCCTTGTCCTCGTCCGTTTGTCGTCGTTGTCATCGGTCTCGGTCGTAGTCGCTGTCGTCGCCCGTCGCCGTCGTCGATATCGGTCGGTCGGTCGTCGTCGATTGTCCTCGTTTTTGTCGTCGTCGTCGTCGTCCTGGTCCGTTTGTCGGTCAGTCGGTCAGTCGGTCGGTCCTCGCGGCAGGCGCCGAGCAGTACGTGATTGGGCGGACGCGGGTGTACTTCAAGAGCGGGGTGCTCGAGGCCTTGGCAAGTGGGTCCGTCGGCGGACGCCGACGTCGGCGGCGCCGACGACGACATTGCCGTCGACTGAGGTCGTCGTTCGAGAACGGCGGACGTCGGGCTGTCGGCGGACGCCGACGTCGGCGGCGTCGACGACGACATTGCCGTCGACTGAGGCCGTCGTTCAAGAACGGCGGGCGCCGACGGCGACGGAGGAGGAGGCTCTCGGGTGTCTCTGGAGGCTCTCGTCGTCATGGCTGGCCGCAGCGCGGAGACCTGGCCAGCAGTTCGGGGAGCAGACTGTGGCACAAACAGACAGACAGACAGACAGACAGACAGACAGACAGACAGACAGACAGACAGACAGACAAACAAACAAACAAACAAACTGAATCGGATCGTCGTGGGTGGCGCCGGAGGCGCGGCCAGGGGGCCCCCGTGCCGATCAGGGGAGCCCGCGCGGACCTAAGAGTTTTGTATGTTTATGTCGTTGCTTGTGCCCCCAAGGATGGGCCCCGTGCATGGTCCGCGGATGGGGACTGAGCGGAGTCTTTCCTGGGGGCGGGCGCACGAAGTGGGCTTCGCCAGACCCCCCTCCATGGCTCGCGGAGCGTGCCAGGGGCGGCGCCAGAGGCGCCGTCAGAGGGGTCCAGCGCAGATCCAAGACGTCCACTCGGACCGTCGAATGTTGATCTTTATGCAGTTCTTCTTCATCTGGGCGAGGGGTCTTGGACCCCCGGGGCCTCCCCTGGGACAAGTTTTCCATCCGGAGAGGGCCCGGGAGTGCCGAAAGCGGTTAAGCAACTCCGAATCCCTCTGCCTCGCGACCCGGTTCTCCCCGTGGTGGCCAGAGGGGGCTGGCGCGCAAGAGGAGGTGGCGCGAGGATGCGGCCTTCTAAGGAGACAGGGAGCGTCTTAGAAATATCCTGCCTTGTTAGGAGAGGGGGTTGGCGCGCAAGAGGAGGTGGCGCGAGGATGCAGCCTTCGAAGGAGACAGGGAACGTCTTAGAAATATCCTGCCTTGTTAGGAGAGGGGGCTGGCGCGCAAGAGGAGGTGGCGCGAGGATGCAGCCTTCTAAGGAGACAGGGGGGAACGTCTTAGAAAGATTTTGCCTTGTTAGGAGTTCGTGGTCCCTTCTGGGAAGTCGCTTGTCTTCTTCGACCCCATTGCCCCACCTTATCATGGCGCTCCGCCACATCCCCAATGGGGCTTACGGCAGCGAGATTGGCTGTAATTCGAAATTTCTTGAACGCTTGGGTGGGATTTTGCTACGCTGGGGGAGCCTTGCCGCCACGACCGGGTAACCCTGGTCAGGGTGCCCTCCAGTACAGGTCCGGGGTCGATCGTGAGTTTTTGTTCGTTCTGAGGTGCTTGGTGGGTTCTGGATGGTTTCGAGAGTCTTTGTCAGATTCAGCGGGAGAGATAGAAGAGTGGAGATTGTTGGGAGCCACGGCTGCCACATTCTTGGGTGCGCCAACTTCTTGGCTTGGTTTATCAGCGTCCCGGCCTTGAGGCGGTTCCTGGAGGTTTGCGGGCCCAGGCGTGTTGCCCCGCAGCTGCGCTTCGTCGACGGCCTCCACGTGACGCCGTATTCGCCCCCAGCGGTCATCTTTCAGCCTGGCCACAGAGCTCAGACTTCGGGCGTCCAGAGAAAGGTCGGGCGCCAGCTCCTTACACAGCGTGTCTGTAAGGTAGAAGGGCTTCGTACATTTCTTCTCACGCCCCGTGAGGGAGCCAAGGCCCCCGAACTCGGAGGCCCATGGTGGCCGCTCATTGTGTTACTGTGTGAAGCTGTTCAGCGTCGTCTGCCGCGAGGGCGTCATTGCTTCAGGAATCTCCTGGGCCTCCAGAGGTCCTTCGGGTTCCAGGGGTCCACGAAAGGCAATGTGCACATCGCGGGATCCCTCCGAGTGGAGGGGTCGAGTGCCCTCGGCCCTGGCGTACTTCGAACAAAATTATCCTGGCGCAGGACCCAAATTGTGAATGCCGCATCTTGGTTACCGCTTTTGGTGGAGCTCCCCAGTGAGGCCACGAAACGCATGAGGGGTGTGCTGTAATGGTGGTGGGGTGGTACCGGAATGGGCCAGGAACGCGCATGTGGACCCTCCCACTGGTGCCTTCGGTGGAGCTCCTTCTTGGGACACAGAGCGGCTGAGGGGCGTGCCGACATGAGGCAAGAAGTCGCGTGTGGACCCTGCCACTGTGGGTAGGGGAGACGCATGTGGACCCTGCCACTGGGGCCTTCGGTGGAGCTCCTTATGAGACCACGGGACGTTGGGGGAGCCGCATGTGGACTTTGCCACTGGGACCTTCGGTGGGGCTCCTTATGGGGCCACGAAACGGTGCACTGAGTGGGGGAGACGTATTTTGACCTTGCCACTGGAGCTTTCGGTGGAGCTCTCTTTGGGAACGCAAAGCGTTGTATTGAGTGGGAGCGACGCTTGTAAACCCTGCCACTAGGGCCTTCGGTGGAACTCCTTACGGGTCCACGAGGCGCTGCACTGGGTGGTGAGGCGCATGTGAATCTTGCCACTGGGGCCTTCGGTGGAGCTCCTTGGGGGACCACGCAATGTTCTCCTGAGTGGGGGGGACGCATGTAAACTCTGCCATTGGGGCCTTCGGTGAAGCTCCCAGTGCGGACATACGCTGTATTTGGCGGGGGAGACGCGTGTGAACCCTGCCTCTGGGGCCTTCGGTGGAGCTCCCTATGGGCCACGAACCAATGTTCTGGGCGGAGGAACCGCATGGCAAAACCTTGCCATTGGGGCCTTCGGTGGAGCTCCATACGGGACCACGAAGCGCTGTACTGGGCGGGGAGACGCAAGTGAACCCTGCCACCAGGGCTTTCGGTGAAGGGCCACGAAAGTTATATTGGGTGAGGGAGACGCATGTACACCTTGCCACTGGGGCCTTCGGTGGAGCTCCCCATGGGGCGCATGTAAACCCTGGCGCTGGGGCCTTCGGTGTGGCTCTATGGGCCTCGAAGCGATGTACTGGGTTGGGGAGACGCATGCGGACCCTGTCACTGGATCCTTCCGTCGAGTTACCTACGGGGCCACAAAGCTTTGTACTGGGTGATCAAGACGCATGGGAACCCTTCCAGTGGGGCCGTCGGTGGAGCTCCTTGTGGCGCCACGAAGCGCTGTATTGGGTGCGCAGGTACGTGTAAGCCCTTTCACTTGGGCCTTCCGTGGAGCTCCCCACGGGGCCACGAAACGAGTGAGGGGTGTGCCGAACAGGTTGACTGATGCGGAGGGCAGAGGCAAGGATGGGAGGAGTACGGGGAGAAGGAGAGGAGACGCGGGACTGTCTCTTCAAAACGAGGACCAGCACCACAGGATGGTCGGGAAAAACAGTCGTTGGAGGTCTGGGGACCCCCTCTCCTCTCAGCTTTTTTTCGGGGGCAGCGACATGGGGCGAGGGCCTGGCTCAGGGGGGGAAGTACCGACCCCTAGTCGCCCACTCATCGCCGGTTGGGGCCAGGGCCCCCCCCTGGCCCAGTAAGGCGCGGCTTAGATATCGAGGACATGTCGCCGATCTATTGGCGACGCCTCGCCGATTCTCGGCGATGCTTCGCCGATTCTCGGACGGGGGGAGGTCGGGCCACGGCCAGCCGCGCGCAGCAGGGTCCCGCCCAGCCGCCCACCCGCAGCTTGCTGTGCAAAACCCCTGCAGCAGCGATTGCGATGGGCGCTGGGCGGTGGCTGGTGCACGTCTGCGACCGCGCCAGCCCGCGCGTGCTCGCGCGCGCAGCGGCCTGCCATTCGGGGCGCGGCCGACGCGGCCGCGGTGGCGCGGACCGCTGCGCAGCGCTTCGCAGCGCGTCTTGCAGGCCGCGCTGACGCGCGGGCACTTGGGCGCGTGGCTCGCGAGGGCGCGGCCATCATTGGGGCGTCGGCAACGGCAGACGCGATGATGATAGTACCGATGCTGGGGTCGACGGTGCCAATGACGGCGGCGAGGCCAACGACGGCGCCCGAGCTGATTCGCCAGCGACGATGATGGTGCCCGCGTGTCGGTGATGAAGCTTTTAGAAAGATGGGGCGATTTCGCTATGCGCGCGCGGCGGCCGACGACGATGCCCCCCCCCCCCCAGCACGCGCGCAAGCGCGTTCGGATGATGGCAGCGCGCATGCGCAAGAGGCCCGTGTGGTCGCATGTGATGGGGCGCGATCTATGTGGCACATCATGCGAAGTGCAATGCAGGTGGTGCAATACTTGTGGTGCAATCCACGCGGTGCATTAAGCTTGGGAAAATTCGGGGCTGTCAACTCCACTGCTGGCCGAATCACCCCACCCCGCCGCCCGCCCGCAAGTTGGTTTGCAAAACCCATGCGGCGGAGATTGGGATGAGTGCTGGGTGATGGCAGGTGCATCTCTGCGATCGCTCTAGCCCGCGCATGCTCGCGGGCACAGCAGCTGGCTATTTCGGCGCGATCGACGCGGCCGCGGTGGCGCTGACCGCTAGGCACTTTCGATTGCGTCTCGCAGGCCGCGATGACGCGCCGGCACTTGAGTGCGAGCCGGTGGCTCGGGCGGGCGCGGCACCATGGCGATGTCGATTCTTGTAGACACGGTGATGATAGTAGCGATGATGGTGAATATTGGTGGCGATGGCGACGGCCAGGCAAATAACGGCGTCGATGCTGGTCACGCCGATGGCGGTGATGGAGTCCTCTCATCGGCGCGGAAGATTTTGGGAGGATTTCGTCTTGCGCGCGCGGCCGACACGCGCGAGTGGGCCGCATTGTTTTCTACAAGGGTCGTGCCCCCCCCCCCAGCACGCGCCGAAGGCCGTTCCAATGATGTGCGCGCGTGAGAGGCGCGTCTGACCGAATGTGATGAGCATGTTGAACAGTTTGTACCTGTTGGTTTCCTTTTTTTCATATCTATCAAAAAGCGCGAAAGCGCGCAGACTTGGCTTCAAAACCTGGTGTTGCAGAACCATATGTATGTTCTGTGCATGCGGGGATCTCGAATTGGCAATCCTTGCGATACCCATGTTGTTGAAGGATTCAGGCATGCGCGCGCAACGACGCATGCGTGCACTTCGTTTTTCTGTTGCAGAGGATTCTGGAACACCTATTTTTGATAAACGAGTGCATGCGCATACGTAATACATGTTCCAGAGAATGGTGGGTCGGTCGCGCCCGGCCAGGCTGGCATGCGATGGTTTCATATGTAGAATGGGTGATGGGGCGGAACCATATGTAAATTGCAGTACGAAAAGGCGGGCGGATATTCCAAGGGGGCGGGTGGTAGATTTCAATTCTTCCGTATAATGGGGAATCAACGTGAAATCTTTATGGTGCAATCCGACGGCGGCGACCAGCGACTACGAGGCGGCGACGTGGCGGCGACGGCGACAACATAGCCGCCAGACCGAAACACGGGCCCAGACGTCGGGCAGCGAAGGGGCGACGACGGCGTCAACATATTGGCCAGACCGACGCACAGGCCTAGACGATTGGCGGCAACGAGGCGGCGACGGGGCGGCGCCAGCGACAGCATAGCCGCCAGACTGACGCACAGGGCCAGTTTCTCAGAAAACGCGCAAGAGCCCGTAGGTGCAAACACTGTTCGGGGAAACTTTACATCGCGCGTTGAGGTTGACTTGGGATCTGTATTCGCGACATTTGTAAAATGCAGTCAGGCAGCCCACTTGGGGCCCGGGAGCAGCTGCAAGAGAGCCCCGAACGTCCGTTGGCCCACTGGGCGAGGCACCGCCGTCGCCTGACATCGACGCGGCGGAACAGGCGCCCGCGCCAGCCCCGAGGCGACCTGGACTGCCCAAGACGGTGGACCCAGCCAATGGCGCCCAGGATTTTGTCGAGCGGAGCCCGGCAAAATGAGCGACTGGGGCCGATCTGGGCAAAACCCTCGGCGTAGGCTTCCAAGCCGAGCCAGCCAAGCGCGTGACGGTGACCGCCCATCGTGGACCGCCCCATTGCGGGCGCCCGCGACCCCAGGCGACCCGAGACCCGCCGCGGGAGTTGTGACAGGGAGGCAGAGGAGGTTAACAACCCTTCGCAACATGAAGCGCAAGGTTACTTTGCATCTTTGGTCGGCCTCGGCTTTTCTGCAAATTGCCGCCCTTTCCCTGGTGCCCGACACACATTCAACGCAGATTCGGTACGCATTCGACGCGGATTCGACATCGAGTCGACGCGGACTCGGGAAGTGCGACATAGATTCGCAGCAGATCTGGCACGGATAATGACAAAATGGGACAGACAAGATCCCGTGAACATGTATTGTATGCAAGGTTTTGCCTCGCGTCGCGACGTGGCGGCGCCCCCTCGCCCCAACAAATCAATCTTCGCGCCCAAATTTGTGGCTTCGATTTTCCTTCGGACCCCGCGGGCTGCGTTGCGCGCGTCGGTGAACATTGACATTGACACTGGGTGGCGAGGTTGGTTGGTAAAATCTTGTCTTTGGTTTCGCGGAGGGTCGTAAGTTTTCCGGCAGTCACCGCATACCCACTTCGCTCCTCCTCCCCCCTCCCAGAACTGAGGACTACGATCAGAGGAGGAGGGGGGAGGTATGAGGAAGGATGTGGACCGGTATACGGTCAGGAACGCTTACCAAGCGTGTCGCGCCGATGGTTTTGGCTCACCACGATTCGGCGCGACACGCTAACCACGCTTCGAACTCCGAACGTCAGCGTGTCGAGCCATTCGACACCTCCCGCCCTGAGTGGCATGTCGCCAGGGTCGCCGCCGCGACATGCTGAGCAAAAGCTCTTGACCGTAGCTGTTAGATTCTCAGATGATGACCCCCCCTTCTGCCTCGTCGAGCCTCATCCTTTTTTTCTCCCAGGAAAGGCTCCGTCGACTTCTCTCTCTGCCAGAAGGGAGGGAAACGACGAGAGGAGGAGGGGTGAGGAAGCAGGCGGGCCTGTACAACGGTCCCCCCCCCGAAGAGGCGCTCGAAGAGCGGCGTGCGCTCCTCCAGCAGGCCGCGGCCACGCAGATCGCCTGCTGGGCGCGCGGCCGCCAGCAACGCTCGAGGCACCTCTGTGGTGCGTGCGTGTGTGCGTGTGTGTGAAGGTGGTTTGATGTCGAAGTCCTGGAGGTTGGCACAGAAACCAGTATCGGCGGTTGCCCTCACCGAGGGAAGGTGACCCTGGTTTCGGAGATAGTGGTAATCGATAGTACGCGGGCTTGATCGGCTGCCTGGAGATGACCACCAACACCAACATCCAGGATCATCTGCCCCTGGTGGAGACAACCTCCTGTGAGTTTTGGCGCCGATCTCCAGACCCCCACTTCTGGCTGAAGCGCTTGCGAGTACTGAGTCTGGCAGGGGTCTTGACTCATAGAGTGTGAGCATGTCTGAGCTTTCGCCCACCTCACTTCTCGTGCACGTGCATGTTAACCTTTGGAGATGTGCCGTCTTCCCCTTCTCCAATGCTCTAAGCATGGGCTTCGAACCTCATGGAACTCAGTCGAGCGAGCGAGCGAGGAAGAATGATAGGGAGGATGAGAAATGAGGATTGGGGAGGAGGAGGAGGAGGAGGAGGAGGAGGAGGAGGAGGAGGAGGAGGAGGAGGAGGAGGAAGAGAGTCTTGGGTTTACACTGGTCCAACCTCCTCCTCCTCCTCCTCCTCCGCCTCCTCCTCCTCCTCCTCGTCGCGCCGGCTACGTACGACGAGGAGGAGGAGGACCATTGGAAACCCAAGACTCGCCAAAGATGTTGCATTGCGCTAAGGCGAGAGCCACATTTGGAAACGGAACCGCCCACCATCCGTAAAACCCGTGCAGAACTTTCAGACGAATGTGCGTGTCGCTAAGGCGAGAACCACAGTTTGAAAACTGCCGCCCTCTGTCTGTGAAGCGCTTGCAACTTTTAAGACTTTTAAGACGAATGTGCGCGGCGCTATGGCGAGAGCAACATTTTGAAAACGACCTGCCCTCCATCCGTGAAGTTGTTTGCGAACTTGTATGACGAATGCGCGCGTCGTTGAGGCGATAATCGCAGTTTGAGAACCGCCCGCCGTACATCCGTGAAACTGTTGCAAATCTTCAGCTTCAGGATCATAAGTGGTGGGGAAGCCTCAGGCGAAACGCCCAGCCCGCCCTACCGAACCGTCTCTGGGACCGACAGGGAGGAGTTATTTAGACGAGGACGAGGAGGAGGAGGACGAGGAGGAGCAGGAGGAGGGAATCGGAGGCGACGGCAGGGGCAGATGAGCCCAGGGGGAGGGCGTTATACGTATTCGCCCCGGGAGCCTCGTCGAAGACATGGGGGGCGGGAGCCTGTGGATGCATAAGCTGTCCCCCCCCTGGGCTATCCGCCGTGCTACAGCCCCCGAGACGAGCTTCCAGGTTCGAGGAACGAGTTTTGGGTTTTTTTCGGTTCGCCCTCTGCGGGCCTCCTGGACTCGCTTTCGTGGCCGTGGCTGGAGATGTCTCGAAGTTCTGGTCAAAATTCTCACCCCAGGGCTGGCAAAGTGGGACGATGGGGGGGGGGAAAGGGAGGGGAGGATGGAGGGAGACGACACGAGGTTTTGGTGGAGGTGGCAAGCCTGTCGGCGAGCACAAGGCCATACAGCAGTAAAAGAATTTATTCGGCGATCGATTAAAATTTGGCGAGGGGAGCGAGAAGCTTCTTAACCCGGGCCCCGAAACTATCGAGTCCAAGCGCCCAGTTCGAAAAACAATTGGACGCCAGGATCTCGGGGCTCTCCTCCCCCTCCTAGTCGAGTCAAAGCGCCCAGTTCGAAAACAATCAGACGCCAGTCCCCTCCCCCTCCCAGTCGGAGCCCACAAGGGGTCCCCCTGGGCGCCCGGCGGCGCGCCCCGAGGCTCCGCCTGCTCCGCCGCTGGACGCTCCGGGCGCAGGCCGTGAGGCGCATGCGCCGCGTGCGCGACGGCCGCTGGGGGCTGTCGGGCAGTCGCCCGTGGCGCGCCGGGACGTCGCCCCCCCGCCGCGGGGGAGGGGAGGAGGGAGGGAGGCAGTCTATCCTGTCTCCGGCTCCGACCTTATCGGTCGTTTTTCCGGCGCAGTGTTGTGTCGGAAATGATCAGGAGCGAAAGTTCGTATCACGCGGCCGCGGAGGAGGGATTGGATTGCAATCGTGACGAACCAGGGTGGCTGTCACGAGTGGGCGGCGCTGCAGCTATATAGCAGATGGCTCTAAAGCGCAGGCGGGCAAGCTGGCTGAAGAAGAAGCTGGGACATCTGCACGGGCACCAAGAACGCAAGTTCAGTGCAGTACGATGGGACCCCCGCGACAGAGCGGACGGAACGCGTCGAACCGAAGCAAGGAGTCCGCGGAGGAGGGAGGGAGGGAGGGAGGCAGTCTATCCTGTCTCCGGCTCCGACCTTATTGGTCGTTTTTCCGGCGCAATGTTGTGTCGGAAATGATCAGGAGCGAAAGAAGGACGTACGCGTACATGAGTCCACGCTGGTTTCGAGAGTACGCATTGCCCCCCGAAAGTTTGTATCACGCGGCCGGTCTCGCAGATCGAGGGGCCGCGTTCATGTACATAGCTGGGCGCGTGCGTCCTTTGTGGGCTCCCTAAATGAGCGCGAACCGCGTCCGAGAAGTAAGTCCGAAATCGAAAGCTCACAGGGGGGGGGGGCGTATGGCGTCGGAGCGTCGGGGCCTTGAAGACCCAAAAGTATCGGGACGGTGGCAGTGCGTAAGTGTGGTTGTGGTGGTTGTAAGTATGTATCAGGGACTTGTCTGGCTTACACAATCAAGATAGTAGTAAGTCACATACAGAAGCTGGGTACGAGCCCCTTGTAATCAGGATAATATCGACCTTAGCTATCCGAGCTAACCTACTTACGGGGGTTGTCGCTAACCAGGTTAACCTAGATGTAGCCACATGTTTTTTCAATGTAGAACGTTATGTTTTGATTGAAAGCTGTCCTCGGACAAAACAAGAATTTCGCTCGTGAAACATCGAATTCCTTTTTTGTGTTTTGTGTACCGTATTTCTCAAAGCATGGACCTCGTAGTTTATGTATGTGTACCCCACTACTTACACAATACAGATGACGTCCACAAAGGAATCTGGAAAACACTTCTTGGCGGAGATACCCCATCTCCACTTCGAGGTTGAACAGTCCGCCGCCGCCGAAGGTGACGTCACTTCAAGCGGCAACGTGTTTGGAATTGACCCATCTCAATTAAGGAGGCATGATTATCTGAAACACTCGTCCCACGCATGCCTTCCAGGCAATGCGTGGCTCGAGCACGCGGTCCGTCTGCACAAAAGTTGGCGCCCCTTTCACAAGGCACTTCACAATGTCAGCTTTGCACTCCATAGCCTCCAAAGCAGAAGCGCACGAAATAGGATCACCATTTGTTTTCAGATGACCCCAAATCTCACCGTACTTGATGGCCCCAGCGTAGTCCAGGAAAGCCACCACGTCTGCATTACTGATCACATTTAATTTCACAGCAGCTTGCGGGCTGGTTAAAGTCGCACATCTTTCGCTCAATGAAAAATGAAACACCAATACAGCCCGAGCCTTCTTACTGACATCGCGGGGATCCAACAAGTAAGTTTTTACTCACGGGCCGTGGATGTGGTGCACGCTTTGGAGCGCTACCTCCTCCGTAAGGCTTCGATCGAACAGTTTAGTGTTGTGGCGTGGAGTCGCCATCGTCTTAATAGGCCGATGTTTTCCCTCCATTAGTAAGCAATCTACAATATGTCCGAAACGTTCCAGCTGTTCTGGGAGATGCAGGGCCCAGTGGCACTTAGGTTATCAATGTTCCTCGCTATCATATGCGATTTGGCGGGCCTGCAAATGAGCAGTGATTGAATTTTCCAAATCATCAACACTCACACGGCCACTGTTCACGACAGTAAGCATGTGAGATATTTAGAAAGCACTGGTGCAAGCGATCTGATTTCGCTAGCGGTGCCACCTGGTCTGAAATAAGCATTTCCCAAGCCCATGTCTCGAGCGTGCGCGTGCGCACTTAGCCACTCGAAATTATGAAGAGACTCATGCAACTATTTTCATCCCAATCGGTGCT